AGCATTATGGCCAGTTTCTCGTGTACACTGTGGCTGTGAGATTAAACACCAGGCTGTAGCCGTCAGAACACACAGCTGGTTGCTGTGCCATGTCATGAGCCATCTGTCCCTGGCTTGGGACTCACTGCAGAAAGAAGGCGCCTTCCCACTGACCCAGAATTGGGTGCTGCAGCTCCTCTACGACCTGCGCTACCTCAGCGTTGTGCTCACTGCCAAGCCAGAGACGAGGAGCAGGCACAGCAAGCCAGACTCCAGGTACTGCGTCTCTTGTGGCCTCTCCAGCTGGGTCTCTTCCCGTGCAGATAGGGACGCTCCCTGCTCATGGGGCTGTTCTCATGATTTTTAACAGTAATGTGGTGGGAAAACAGTAAGCATTGAGAATTGCCCTTCACACTTTGCACAGGGGGCTGGCGTGGGCAGTGACACGCATTATGATCCCCTCAAAATGCTGGTCAGCATCAGGAGGCCGAAGCTCCAGGGCGGCCCTGCTCCCCAAGGGGAAACCAGCCTCCTCTGCAGTAGATGCTGGTCCTAGCCTGGGGTGGTCAGGGCAGTTTCCAGTACTTTCAGTTTACAGTGGTTTGTTGGGACAGGAACCATCATAAGTAGTGGCCACCTGCTGGGTACATTTCATGGTCTAGCAAAGGCACAGCTTCATTCCTCTGGAGGTCTGCCTTCTAAGTGCTGGGTATAATTTGAGATCTTAGTGCTTGCCCTAAAAACAGAACATGAAGGAATGAACTTGGCTTAGACATCAAATACACTTCCACGAGTTCTACAGGAAGAAAAACTGCAGTTTCATTGTAAAAAAAAAAATAAAAAAAAAAATAAGAAGGATGATGCTAATGCTTTTCCCAGAACTATGAGCATGACTGTCCACATGGGAGCATGCAACTGGTTGATGGCAACCCGACCTGCTGTGTTCACACTATCCCCCAACAGCAGCCTCAGTCCCCTGGTGCAGCAGACCTCTCTACAGGTGCATACCACACAGCAAACTGCTCGGCGCTCAGCGCTCCAGAGTGCAGCGCTGCCTGGACCAGACCACCACAGCCAAGCACCAGAGTCCCCCGTAGAGAGGGTGGTTCCCCCGGGTGGGCAGGGCTGCTTGGGAGCTGAGGCCTCCTCACACTGACTAGCATTTTGAGAGGGTACATGTCATGGTCACATGTATCGCCTACCCACCTAAAGCCCCAAATGCAAAAGTGGAGGGCAGTTTTCCTGAAGAGTCGGGAGTCTCTTTCTGCACTGGAAAGAAGCCATGTTGGAGCCCAGAAGACACCAGCTAGACAAGTAAGATACACAGTAACTTAGTGCTGTCCAAAGGCTGAAAGAGGAGCAGATAACATTTCTACACATCGGGTTGGGAATGATGGCCATGGTCCAGCCTCTTAAATTGCAGGTAAGGATTAAATTTCACATAAACCTAGGAAAAGAACGCCGTAGCCATGAGATTCTCGTCCATGGCAGAGACATAAAAGTAATTTTGAAACATTAACACACTCAAAATGGATAAAGTAGTGTTTACTCTTAGAGAACTAATTGTTTGACCCAAACAGTAAAATCCTGCATTTTCCTCTGCTCGCTCTTGGATGTCAGGTTCTGTTCGGACTGGTTACTGGGACAGAGAACCAGTTCATGCCCCGGAGCAGCACATTCAACTCCCAGGAAGCCCACAACATACTGCCGCTGGCCTCGAGTCAGATCAGGTGAGCCAGGCCTGAGAAGGGTCACCGGGCCCCACGGCTGCCCTTCCTGCCGCTGACATTCTTCCCTCATCTTGGAGGTTTGGGCTGCTTCCACTGAGCAGAGGCCCTGAAACCAAAGCCCAGAAATTCTTCCTGCACTTCCTTGCTGATCCTTCTTCCCACTGCACCCAGTCAACTCCCTATGAAATAACTTAAGAACTGAGTGACAAAATGCACTAATGCTGCTTTTAATGACGGCGCAATAGAGAAATACAAGATTTTAACTAGCATGAACCAAAGATTTAACGTATGCCCATTGACACTACCAAATAGGCTAATAGTAGAAATGTATCCCAGGCTGCAAGGCTGTAGAAAATGTGCAGACAGAGTGAAGGTGGTTGCTGGAATAGTCCTGGGGAACTTCCAACCGGCCTAGCTGCAGTGTGGAGAGCACCCTTCGTCCTGGGGATGGCTTCACCTTCCATGCCTTTTAGTTGGGTAGGAAATGAGTTTGTTTCCTCCAATTTGACACTTTCTTGTTAAACACATCCTGTTTCGGTGGGGCGCCATCCACTGAGCCTGAAAGTTCTCCTGGGTTTCTGAATTGTTATAGAAACATGTTTGAGAGCTCAGCTTGGCTTCTTCTAGCATTCCATTGTTTTTTTTATTGTTAGACAAAATATTAGCAACACGTCCTTTCCATATTTCCTGCCATTAAACCCATTAAGATCGAAAATCCTTGTTGAACATCTGTTTTTAAATGTGGGAGACATTAAAGAATTTTTTAAAAAAAGATAAAAAGCTCTTTGCGAAAATTCCCATACTCCAAAGAGGCCTGTGCTGTACCCTTTCCCTATAGCACTTGTTTCCACATCTATTAGCCTTTATGTCCTGTCCCTATTAGAGAAGCAGACTGTGGAAAGGAGATACATAGGGTCACCCTTTTTCTGAAAGTTTTCATTCTTGAATCTCATCAGATAATAAAACCCTGTGCTGTCTCCACTTCCTTTTCAGCCCTGGCAACAAACAGCACAGAGCCATGCAACCCTCTCAGCTCTGCTGAGTAGCGTGGCTTCCGATGGGGGCATGGTGTGCGGTGCAGGGTGAGCAGGAGGGGAGCAGGCAGAGGCTGCAGGCGGCCTCTAAGGCACATCCTCTACATCCAGTGGCAGGTTGCCCCCCACACACACTCTCCGGGGCAGGGGACTGCACGCAGCCCGGCTCCCTCTTCAGATAGCTCACCAGTGAAACGTCACTCTTCAGGCTCAGCTGGCTCTCAAGTATGACAAAATAACACAGGAGCGCGCCCATTTCCCTAAATAAATGCCACTGCGTTGTTTCTCTGGAAGGTGTCTCTGCTCAGTTATTTCTAAGCGATCTCATTCCACAGTCAGTGATGGAATGTCATCCCCTCTGTCCTGTTAAGGGTGACTTTCCACAAAGCTAATCCTCACCCAGTAGTTCCATTGTTTGGTACTGTGGACATGAGCTCAGCTAGCTTATGCTGTGTCAGCGTACATCTATGCCCCTGCTATTGACACTACAATGGAATGATGTGAGATCACGAGCTGATGACACAACTGACAAGCTTGTAAGTAGGACAAAGAGTTGTCACATATTCATTGACTTGCAGAGCTGTGCAGTATTTTCTACTAAAGTCTGAGCTACAGACTCTGGAGGAAAAGTAATACAGAAGTTATCTGGCTATACAAGAGTCTGAAGGACATTCTCCCTGGAAGTACAAATATATAACAAAGAGTGGAGACCATCAGTAGAGAGGGTGCTTCACTTCCACAGTAAATTAGATCTGATTGTTCTGTTCAAATGGACAGTGTACTTTCCATAGGAGGTCTTATCTACTAAGAGGTAGTATGGCAATTAACTTCAGTGCAAGACTGAATCAAGCTTCCTATCTTTTGGAAAAAACATCTTTTCATGGAAACTAGATACTCTTCACTGGTTTATTTAATTAAAAAAATTGAAGATCCCCCATTTTTAAAAGGCCCTTTTACATAAAGTAGAGCTTCTAAGTGACAGCTTGGGAAATCAGTCTGAACTGGACACACTATGGATGTGACACACAGATGAAACTTCCTCACACCACTACCGTGACATGGATTGGATAGTCTCCCTCAAAATAATCCTATAAAAAATTGCTTCAAAGCCCCTTTGAAATTGCAATAGTGCAGCAGAACCACAAGTAAACAATTGCCTGTTAACTTGTTATTTCAAATAGACTGAAAAGCCAACAGGCAGGTTTTTTGTGTGCAATTTTTCAGAACAAATCTTAAGTTGAAATATCAAATCTGCACAGCACTGTCCCTTCACAGAAGGCAAGAAACTTCTGGTGCATCATGTCAGAGGCCGTCCTCGGTGCTGCAGGCTGTGAAAGTGGGCCTCCTTCAGCGTCTGGTTGATGTGGAAATAAGGGCCGTGGCACAGTGCAGCCCGCTCAGACATGGGCTGAGGGGTGTTGGGACTGGATCCGGGGATGACCTGGCTTAAGCCGCTCTCTGGCCCACTGGCCCGGTCTGGACTGTGGATGCTGGTGCTGCTGCTGCTGCTCCCGCCACTGTCACTGCTCGAAGACTGGAAGGAAAAGGAAAAGCCAGAGTCACCATCAACCTGTCTTGACACACCCAAGCTTTGCCTGTGGCTTAACATGCAGTATTAAGAGTCTCCTACTTAAGGACTGGCACAAGTGTGGATCCCGGGCCTCATGGTCTGTAAGGCACATTCACAGAGGACCTGCGCTCTACCCTCACAACTATGTTGCTGGGTTGAGTGGGACAGATCAGCCCTGGGACACAGTAGTAGGTGGTATACCTGGATTTAAGCAGAGAAATTCCAAGTCCACATCCTTCAACTACTCAAAAATCAGTCAAGTGCATTCCTGGCAAGCACAAGGTTCTAGGTTCAATTCCCAATACCAAATAGAAAAAGAAAAGAAAAACATCCTACTTGGAAACAGTTCTAGCTTGATTTTAGAAGAGACGACATCCCCTGAAAATGAGTCTTCTGGCGCAAACCTTAACATGAACTGTAAGATGCAATCTTTAAGCGTTATCTCTTCTAAAGCCATTCTAGAACTTGTTTCTCAGGGGAATCTCAGATGGACCGGATGAACTAGTCCATCTCCCAGCTGGGTATGAAGGCAGAGGCTTAGAGGGTGATGCAGAGGCCCATCAAGTTGGACCCTAGCTTAGGCAGCTTAGGGACTTCCACCTTGTCTCAAAATAAGAAAAGGTTGGGGGATGTAGCTCAGTGGGAAGATCCTGGGTTCATTCCCTAGTATCACAAAGAAGTAAGTAAATAACAACTATATCCTAATTCCTTTACACATCTCTAGCTGCTGTTACCAACCATCCATTCTAATACTCTCCAGTAATCAAAGACAGAACTACTCAGTCCTAAGGGAAAGTGGCATGGCATTAAAAGAAAAATACCTTCCATTACAATTAAGATGGTTTTTGGTGACTTTTTTTTTTTTTTTTAATGTATTTGGCACTGGGTCTCACTATGCAGCTTGGACTTGTAGTGATCCTCCTGTCTCAGCACTGGGATTACAGGCATGCACCACCATACCCCATCTCAGTGGCTGGCTCAGTGCCCCGGGGTTGGGGCTGGTGAGTGACAAGATTGAAAACTACAATTCCAAGGCAAGTTTGTGTTCTGTAACTACTCAAGGCAGAATATGTATTTCTTAGAAAGTTATGCTGTCAGGGCTGGTGAGATGGCTCAGTGGTCTAAAGCACCTACTTAGAACAAGCTTGGCAAAGCCCAGGGACCACGGTTCAATCCCCCAGCACCACATGCCAGCCAGCCCGCCCCCTGGTGGGCTGAGCTGGCCACACACACACACACACACACACACACACAAATAAAATTTAAAAAAAAAAAGTTATGCTGTCAACTTTGCAGTTCAGTATGCATATGTGTGACCATGTTTTCTTTTTTCTTTAATATAACAAACATGATTTGGTACTCTAAGCCTTTTTTTTTTTTTGGAGAGAGGGTCATGCTATACAGCCCATGCTGGCCTCAAACTTGATCCTCCTGCCTCAGCCTCCTGAGTGCTACTTACAGGCTTGTGCCACCATGCCTGGCTTGTTTTAGTCACTCTGATGAAGTTACTGTCCATACCAATGCAAATCACTCTCAAATTCCTGCCTGCTGGTGCTGGCCCCACTCCTAGGGCACTTCAGAGGGAGACTGAGACTAGGTGTGGTAATCCCAGCAATTGGGGGTGCTGAAAACAGGAGGATCAGGATAAATCCCATCTGTGTAGTGAGACCCTGTACTGAATACATTAAAAAATAAATTAAAAAAACAAAGCAAAACAAATGCCTGCCTTCCGGTACTACTACAATTCTAGAGGTAAACGGTAACACCAAGGACCCATTTCACAATTACAATTTTTATTCTTATTTTTTTTAATCTTTGAGACAGGATCTGGCTATGGAATTTGGGCTGGCCTTGTGGTCACTTTTGTAGCCCCCAGGCTGATCTCGAACTGGCAGCAATTCTCTATGCTCCTTTCTCAACCTCCCATGAGAGTGTGCTGGGATTACAGGTTGTGCCACCAATTTAATCGTGAATTTCAATAGCAGGTCTCTTCTCTATAACAAAACACAGTGTTGGAAGCATTAGAAAACTAGGATTGTACTAATGATCTGGTATATAATTTTCAAAAAACTTGCCCCCTTTATACATCCAAATTTATGTTCTCCTAAATAAAGACTTTATATAAAGTCCACAAATGTTAAGTCTAAAAAAAAGAGAACAGTGTTATGCTAGAATGAAAGGATTAGCACTATTTAGTTTTCTACACTTTACAAACTTTTCAATGTAGCCAGTATATACTGCTATTGTAAAAATAAATTCACATGAAGTATTTCCAGATATATAATGTCATTTTTACAGTACCAGGGATTGAACTCAGGACCTTGTGCTTTCCAAGCAAACACTTATTCTACTGAGCCATCTCCCTAGCCCCTTATGTCATTTTTAAAGCCTCACTCTATTCATATTTGACAAGTAGTTAACTATATACATATTAAAAATGCATCTGAAACATCAAAAGAAGCAATATTCAGGCCAGCCAGATAGTTCAGTGGATTAAAAGGATTAAAGGTGTGTCTGCTGTGGGACAGGGGGCTGAGACAGCATTGAGACTGGGTGTGGTAATGGGCACCTATAATCCCATGCTTGAGTAATCCCATGGTGGGGAGGCTGAAAACAGGAGGATCAGGAATCCGATTTGTGTAGTGAGAGCCTGTAGACTTTATACTAAATATAT